GCATTCGAAAAAGGCATTTAAAAACCGCTATTACCATCGGCCCTGTTTTGGATGTCCCGCCTAAGGACATGGGCGCCGGCCCTGTTTCAAATGTTTCCTCTCCCCCCCCCCCCGATGTCATGAGTGCCGAGGAGGGCTCCAAGGGTTGAGATGAATCCAAGTGAATTCAAGATGGGGTCTCGTCCGCACGAAAACTACCTATGCAACATAACAGGATGCCAAACTAACCTGAATATTCTGAGCAATCTCCGATGAACGGGATCAGGAGTAAAACAACGGCAGCCAGCATCACCATTCTCGCTCCGGTTGAAGGCCGAAATGATTCCAACCCTAGGTCAGACATTTTTATACTCTACCTTATCATTACCACCACTATCGAATTCACTCATGTGTTATTCGAGTTGTTACAACACGTCTGGTCAGGATAAAAGCAATGAGCACGATGGCTAGAGGTAGGAGCGGCTTTGAGCGCCATTGGTTGAAGTTCTTCGAAGGATGGTCCCAGCCAGGCTCAATCGTCCGTTCGCACAATTCGAAAAAGGGGGTCGCATTTTGGGGTTGGGGAAGGTTATCATAGTGGGAGCAGAAGTCGATGAATGGGGACGTCATTTGAAAGGTTTTTTTTGGGGGGAGGGGGGTGGAGATTGTGGGGAGTTTTACGAAAACTACGTGGAGTTGACAAAGTTGGAGGATTTGCCGCTTCGTGCTGTGCACGGCGCGTCCCTGGCCGATGTCAGACATTACGAATCGCGCGACTCGCTAGCGTCTGCGGTCGCGTCGCGGCCAGTGAATCAATCAATTGGCTGGTACCGCAACGCGATTCGCAAAGTCTGACATCTTAGCGAGTTTGGCCAAAGAGCGTCTTTGAAGGGCGCTCATGTCCTTAGGAGATGACTATCGAATCAGGGCATTCAACCGCTGGTAGGTGACACTGAAACTAAGTCCAGGATTGGGAATAAACACCAGGAGAAGCAATAGCTACCCACAACCCCTACCAAATACTTTCTTACCCCCGGCTTAGTCCCAGTTTCTATAAGTGGCCCATTCACTTCAGTGTAACAACGGGGCCATCTTCAAAGTACTGATTATTTTCCACAACTTTAGCACCAATTATAAATCACTCATCGAGAAACTTTCAAATCGATTCTAAAGGCACGCGCCAGAATTGGACATGCCCACCTCTTCCATTCCAGGGCGTAGTAGGCAGGCCTACAAGGGTTGATGTCGCGCCCCTTTTCCGGCTTGAATGTGCGCAACAAAGCGCTGGAAGCCCGCTCGACTTGCAATTCACTCCTAGCAAGCCCAGCCGTGATGTGTACGTGGCACTGCCCTCAGAAGCGCGGCGCGGCAGCGGCCACTGCGGTTCAATGTCATGCACTCGGGCAAGTGAAGCCTGGGTTCGTGAAACTCCTCTATTCCAAGATCAAAGGGTACCCGACAGGAGGTTCGTCGCGCGACAAGAAGGCAGAGTCGGCGGACGAGTTGCAGTGCGCGATGTGCGATGTAGAACATATAATGGTCCATTCTATTTAATTTGACGCAAAATTGCTACATTACGCGCTGCGGCTCGTCCGCTGACTCAGCTTTCTTGCCGCCCTTGCCCTCCGTATTAGTGGCGCAATCGGGGTTTCTCCTCCTTTCTTCTTCCTTTCCAACCTCTTCACACCTACAGCTTCATTAGAGAAAGCTCCTCCCCACCTATTTTATCCGGAAGCCTGCGCTCACGTGAATATTCGTCCATGCGAGACCTATGCCTTATTCTTTACTTATAGTGGTCAAATTCTAAAAATGTCCCCTAGAATCGAGCTGTCCACGGTTAACAACGTGCGCTCGCAAAAAGCAACTTGGGTGGAGCTGGGGGCACGGGGGGAGTGGCGGAGCGGGCTCTGCTCCGACCCTGTGGTCGTCATACTATTAGGGTGCTCCTATGAAACTCAACCATAGAAAGGCAATCCTGCTTCTCCTAGACTTAGTCCCAAGAGTGTGGGTGGTCGCCAGGACAGGAAGCGAATTGTCTGCTTTTTGCACCCAGGTCCACCACTGATTAGGAGTGAACCTGGGTTCTTGCCGCGAGATGTTTCGCGTGCGAAAAATTCAATCTCTCTCCAAGAGAACCGCACACTACTCCGACTGGGTGCCACGTATACTGCGATATCGCCCACAAATTGTTTCATTCTCCTACAGAATTCCTACTCCTGCCTAAGGCTTGATCCTAAGTTCCGATGTTCACTTACTTGAATATCAATTTTGCTCAACCCCTCCCCAATCCCACTCCCTCAGCGAAACTGGAGGATTAAGTTCATCATGGATGCGCGTGATAGCGGTTTTTAAATGCCTTTTTCGAATGCCCCCTCCCTAGCCTTATGGAGCGTTCATAGTTGGCGATCGTACGTGCGATTAGGCGAGTAGGCGATTAGGCGGTGAAGACTACATACGTATTGATTGGTTGCTCCGCCCTTAGAGCGTTGTAGGCGAGTAGGCGAGTAGGCGATTAGGCGATTAGGCGAGTAGGCGGTAGGCTGTTAATTCATCATCTACGGTTGTGAAAAGGTAGATCTTCGGTAAATCTTTCGTTAGCCTCTACTCGCCTACTCGCCTAATCGCCTACTCGCCTACTCGCCTAATCGATACGTATCCTTTTCGCATAGCCTACTCGCCTACTCGCCTAATCGCCTAATCGCTCAATCGCACGTACGATCGCCAACTATGAACGCTCCATTGAGACATGAGCGCAAGAACAAGTATCTAGCTCACATCCTCTCCCAGAATCCCTTTCCTGTGTGAGTCTCGATCCCCAACACTGTAAGTGGCTCACTCACTTCAATGCCCTCCCCCCCCCTCCACGACATGAACATTCCTCCTCTATTCTTGTATGACAGGGTGGAAACAATTATGTAACCTTTTTACCCTTTGACAACCCTGTTGACAACCCAACAGCAAAAGCTTAGCAGATGTTCTCCAATGCGATAACTGGCTTATACATATTTTTCAGCCAACATGGACAAATATGGACCATTTGCCGTACAGGCACGGAACCATTTGGAGAATGCGAGACAGCTACTTAAGATTGATGAGTATTACATACGCCTAAAATATGCAAATCCATTCATTGTCGTACTATATGACCTCGATGATATGATTGAAAAGGGTCCAGAATCGGTGACCCGAGAAAAGCTGAAAAATCTCTTTAGACTTTTTAAAAACGCTGTTGAACGAATAGCGGAACACCAAAATCCACTACCACCAGGAGCCGCTAAATATATAGGTCAAGCTCTGGGAGAGCTTGCTTCAGCTGCACTTCTTAGACAGCCATCTATTGGGGATAGAGTGCAAAGATACAATAGCGTAATTAATCAAGAAATGGCTGTAAAAAGCAAACTCTTTGCCATGTCTGATTTTGCGGACTTTTTGTATGATTCTCTTTGAGCTTTGGATTTCTGCATTTTCACCATGTACTGCCTCATTGATGAATAAATTTTTTGTTCGCATCCACTGGTGTTTATATTTATGAGATGCAACGATGCAGTCGCGTTATGGAGCATTCATAGATAGCTATCGAGCGTTCATAGTTGGCTATCGTAAGTGCGACTAGGCTATGAGGCGAGTAGGCGATGAGAGAAAGATACGTATTGATTTGTTGCTCCGCCCATTGAGCGATACGCCTAATCGCCTAATCGCCTACTCGCCTAATCGCCTAATCTATACGTATATTTTTCATCATAGACGAATCGCCTAATCACACGTAAATCGCCAACTCTGAACACTCCATTGGGCCGTTTTCGACTTGAGAGATTAGGAATGTACTCCACTGAAAAGATATTCATTGACGGGGAAAGAATAGCAGTTAGAATAGCAGTATATGTGTTAGACGCAAATGGGCTCGGAGGGAGAGGGGGAAGTGGCACCCAAGCCCTTTTGGTGCCGGGGTGGGCGGCGGGGCTGGCTTGGGCGGCGGTATTCTGGTGGGGCCGTTATGCTGATATGTGGGGAGGAGATGGATTGCTGCGGTCGACGGCTACTTCAACTCACGGTTCCTTAACGCCTCATTTGTGCTTACATCAGGACTAAGCCTTAAAGAAGGAGGGACTCGCGAGAAAGCGCAGGTAAGCCGTCCCTCCAAGGCTCAGTACTAGGGTGAGCAAAGCAGTCCTTTTGGCGGAGCTGCTGAACCCAGCTGCATCACTTGATCATCACTCTACTACCGCACCGAATTCTACGTAATTTATACGACTCGGAAACCAGGGTCAAGCGAGGCGTCGAGGAAAATTCGGAAATACGACCCCCCCCCCCCCTCCCTCTGCCGAAGGCCGAAGTCCATGAAACAACCCTCTTTAAAAGCCGAACTATGAAAAAGTTGTTTAATTCTCCACCAAAACTGCTCATAAAAAAGCCCTGCTACCCCATCGTCCACAAAAAAAACTCGTTTAAAAGTATAAAAGTGAAAAAGTCAAAGAATGATCATTAATGACGAGTCCTGTCAAACGAGCAAACGAGAAACGGAGCAAAAAACGTCAAACTAGTCACTAGAAATGGCGTACTATGACAACACCTCTTCTTTGTTTATTTCCTCCACAAGACTTACCAAATTCTAGTACTACACAGATTATGGTTCTCAATTTACACGTCCCCCTTTCGCTCAAAGGAAGCCTTGTAAAAGCCTTCGCCAGCTGTGTGTTGACTGGACTTTGGCGTTGACCGTGGAGCAGCTTATTTACTATTGAAATTTGAACAAATATTCAAATGATTATAACTTTCTTCAAAGTTAACGAATTTTCAATCTGAAAGCTGATTTGGGAGTTTTGTGAAGAGCTTTTTCTAATCAGTACTGAAATTACAGGAAGTTATAAGAAATAACAAATTTAGATCAAATAACGAGGAAAATTCGAGACGAGCACGAGTTTTTACACTTTCCGGAGCAATAACTTGCTTCATTTCCGTCAAATTCAAAAAGTTGATACGTCATACAAAACTAGAAGATTTTCTCTATCAAACGGTCGCTAAAGCAGCTTCATACGTCCAGTACTCAAAAAATGGCCACGTTGAGGATTTTTGCAAAATTAACGAGGAAAATTCGTGATGAGTGCGAGTTTTTACGCTTTCCAAAGCCATAACTCCGTTCAAACTCATGCAATCTGGAAAGTTAATACGTCATCATAAACTAGAAGATTTGCTCTTTCTAGGGCAACTAAAACTGCTAAATACGTTCACTATTTAAAAAATGGCCACGTTGAGGATTTTTGCCCGAGTACCGCCGAAAGGTACTTTTTCGCTACATTAGCACTATCCCAACGACTATAGCTCCTTGCAGGAGCGATTACATACTGAAGTAGGAGCAGATTCAAAATCCTCGTGCTTTTCTCTCTGCAAAAAGTGTAAAATTGTTTAGCGGGTCTCAACTTTAAAGGTTACATGCTTGTGAATTTGACGCTGAAGGCTGCGTTTCTTGTTGAATAGTGTACTCCTCTCTGTAATTTAACATGAACTCTTTCAGAACCCTCTTGATTCTTCCTGAATTAAGATTCGTTATCAAGATAGCCGTAGCTGAAGCGCGCGCAACCAACTGGGCCCACTCTGGGATGCGCCCGTGCTTCACATCTCGTTGGATTTGAGGACCTACTTGAAAGATAAAATATCCCTAGAAAACGTGCGAATTTCGGATCCTTTGACTTGTGTGGTGATGAAACACTAAAGTCACTAAGAATTGCTAAGCGGACACCTCTAAATCACGAAGATTTTGTGTGGACGGAATCAATTGTTATTGGAAATACTCTGGCCTGGTATCGATTCGATCCTTAATGTTTGTCCTCCGACGATGATCCTACTGTATCAATCGGGCCCGATCTCTCCCCAGCGGGCCAATACGACCCCCCCCCTCTGTGACATGTCGAGGATTCCTCAACGCACGCTTGACCCTGGGACCCATCCCTCCCCAACCTTCAGCATATGGCCCCAGCAGAAACGCCAAAAGGGCTGTTTTGATTACCTCGGGGATTGGTTGGGCGGAAATTGAAGATCGAAGGGAAGGTAGCGGTAGGGAGTTACGTATATAGTTGGACTGCACCAGAAGCGGAGTTTCAAGTGCTCTCGTGAAATGATTGTGAAGAAGCCGTACAGAATCAATCGATTATTTGATCTCACGGCTCACCCTTATATCTGTAACTTTTGCTCACTCTCATAATTCATAGTCCCACCCCCCTGCGTAGCAGCTGTGCACGAAGAAAGCTGTCTTTGATGAAAAATTAGTCATATGTATCCCATATAAGACATATTCCATTTAGAGAAGTGTAAAGCCAAATCCCGGGACACATGAGAATGGAGTAGAAGCCTTCAGTGCTAGCTGGGGCTTGGGGAGGGGATGGTGTTTTTTGAAAAAAGAAAGCAAAACTCTGATTGCACCCAACTAGGCCCCCATCTTTTTCAGCCGCATTCCATTCGGAGATGGCGAATGGGGGCGTTCAGACAAGTATTCGAACACTTCATCAACGCTTGTTCGAATGTTTACCATGACCGGGAAAACAAGTGAGCGTGCCCAATCCTGAACCTGACTTTTACCTGGCCTGATGACCTGGTTGTGAGACTCTGACACTGAAGGAGGGTGAATGGCCATGGTAGAACGGATAACCTGCGAGAGCGTTGATGAATTGAGGTAGAGATCGGATAAACGGAGAATGTCAGAGGAGGGATTCCCGATGCTATGCGAGTCCAAGCTCAAGAAAGCAAAACATATGAACACGGGATAGATAAAACGCTTTGTCCCCGGGGCTCCGTCACACACTCCACACTCACTGCTGCACCAGGAAAGTTGTTAGTAGTGGGCTCTTGTCTTGAAATCCTAGATATACAGGAGGGGGGCAATAAAAAAAGACATTTTGTCTCCAGACTCAAATGGATTCAATCACACTTTGCTCGCGTCTCACACGGGTTTGAACCTTCGGTGCATCGTCCCATGAGCGGCATCGCTACCACTGCACTATGGAGCCCTTCTTATTGACGGTGAAAGAGTTGTAGAGAAAAGGCAATAACCCACAAAAGTTGCAAAGATTTTGACATCTAGTAGTATCGATCCCGTGACCGGCTCAACACCAACGTGGACCGCAGGCGCTACACCATTGACGAATCAATGCAAGTTGCTTCCCTTTCCCTTTTCAACTTACTGCTTTGACCCACACAGCCTGGCTGTTTGGAGATGGCCATCTCTAAAAAGTCCTCCGGAGGACTTTTTAGAGATGAAGTGGCAGCATGTTTGCGCCCTCCACCGCGCGCGCACTATTTCCTTTTTCTCTGCCGCCATCGCTGTTAGTTTTTGGATGACCACCCTGCTAATCCTCTTACTGGAACGTGATGTCGTCCCCCCATTTCCGAGTGAGTTCGAACTCACTTCGACCTAGAGCTGCTGTACGCATATTTTAGGGTAACTTCGTTTGGAAGCCATCACCAAGTTACCACGAGCTCATGGTCACGTGGAAACTAGCAGTTGAGGCCACTTTACTACCGTCCCCGGTGATGAACATCATCATCATCAGCACACGAATGCGATTGTATTGGTGCGAAATGGGTCGGCAACAAGAAAGAGAATAGTCTGTCAAAAACGCTCAGATCAAGTGATTGTTCACCTTCGTAATGCGGCTGTGCTACGGTTGAGAGATTAAGCGCGGAGAGCGGCGAAAGATCGCATCGGATGAGAGG